AAAACCCTAATAACCCCTAAATCCATAGGAGGTTTGAGAGCATATCACCAGGCAACTCAAATAGCACAACTAGCTCATACCACAACAAAGGGACTGCACCCTCAGTGGATCCACATGCTCCCTGCTATCAATAGACTTGTTAATGTGGATACCCAACTTATTTAGACCCTTTATAATGTGTCCCACATTATCTTATTTTCTTTCAATATGGGACATGCAAAAGTGCAGACGATCACTAAGCTCCACGCACACTCTTCTAGCACCTATTAGAAGGAACCTGTAATTTAGGCCTGGCTAAGCTCTTCATATTTTCCAATGATGGGCAAATAAAGGATTAATAAGGAAGAACACAGATTATGTTGCAACCAGTTAGCATCATTTATAAAGACCAAACTTAAGCTAGCTACTACAACATTAGTTAAGACAGCTTGCAAGTCTTAAGCCCGAGACACACTACTCGCAAAGCCGTGCAGAGCGAAGCAAAGCTATCCGGCACGGAGCTTTGCGTGCAGTGTGTGAGCAGAGTGCAGTCAGATGATTGACTGCACCTTCAGCCAATCGGTTAGTGCGTTACAACCAGCCAGACGTCGCATTCTGAAATGCAGGTTTATACGCGTGAGCCGATTGGCTGAAGATTACATTTTTCATCTCGGCACACTCAGCTAGCGAGCTCTCGCAAGCTGACGTGCCGAGGAGAAAATTACATGACACACTGCTCGCGAAGACAGCGCACCACCACTCCGTGCTGCTTTGCGTGCAGTGTGGCACAGCCTTAAAGAGTACTCAAGAGGGTGGATCTCTAAAATATACAACCTGCTAACCACACCTACCCAAAAACATCCCTTATTATGCTTAAAGGAGAACTATGAGGTGAGTGATTTTCACTCATCCTCATTGTTCTAGCCGACCTGTGTCAATGAAACTGTCACAGGTCGGCTCAGTAGATCGGGAAGTGAGCGAACACATACCGGCGCTCGCTCACTTCTCGATCCTGTCACTGCAGAAAGCCGTGACAGGGGAGTGACTGGATTCCCCCCTCCCCTGTCCGATCCTCCAGCACTGACTGGCGGAACAGACGGGGGAGGGGGCGGGTACAGCTGGCTCTGCCTCTAAACAGGCAGAGCCAGCTCTCACTCACGCAGCTGGGTGGATCCAGACATAATTGTCGGGATCCGTTTCAGCTGCGGCGTCTCAGTATACCGCAAGCTGTAACTCGTGGTATACTGAGGCTAGGGTGACGGGAGGACGCTAGTTTGTGTCCTCCCGTTACCCTTAGGAGAACTATGGGGAAAAGCCCTAACCACATAGTTCTCCTTTAAATGGGAGCAGGACATCCATAAATCTATGGACAATCAGGACTGGCAAGAGGTCGCAAATAACTTATGCTGGATATTGATTAATTTATCTTAGTATTAATCTAATTACTAAACATTTCTGAGGTGGAAAATAGTCCCCAGTAGAATGTATAAAACCCATCCTAAGGTTTCATCCTATTGCTTTAGGGGATGTGGTCAATTTGGAGCAACCTTGACTATTTATAAATGTATTAACATGTACACTGACACATTCATTCCATATGGATGTAATTTGTTACAAAAAAATTTAATAAACACATTGAAACATAAACTTAGTTAAAGTGTATTTCCACTTTTGCATCCAAATTGGGATAACAACTACTTTATATTTGTTACATGTTCCCATTGACATAACTGTATGTTTGCAATAACTGCAATAATACTCGCCAAATGGCCACCATCACATTTTGCAGTAATAAAAAAAGAAAAGAAATGTGGCCACAATGGCTGATACTTTTCCCAATGAAATTGGTAGATAAACCATCCCACATCCTAGTAAATGTGTTCAAAACATGATGTCCTATTGCTTTTATTGGCCTATATAAGAAAGCACTGCAATAAATCCCACAGTTCAACTACAAGTTAAATACAAGGGTTTTGCCCTGTAGCCTACATTTTAGGTTTCATTCACACATAGCGTTTTAAATGCAGCACTTTTTTTTCGCAGACAAATGGGCAGCCGTACGCGTTTACAAAAACACGCAATTTTGTGTGGCTACAACGACAGTCAGAACACGCGGAAATCAAACAGAAAATTGCGCTTGTACTTTTCGACGTTTTCGGCGTTTTTGTATGTGCGTATGAACATGCAGGTGTGAACAAGCCCCATAAGAAGTATAGATACGCGTGGAAAAACGCTCAGGTGTGAATCAGAGCTTAAGGTTGTTTGAGTTGTATATTTAACCTGCTATTCATACCAAACCATACCCTCTCATCTAGCTACCATAAACATTTTTCAAATTAAGTCCATTTTCTTTATTTTATGCAAAATAGAACAGATTACTGTGTGTTAGCATACTTTTGGAAATACTAAAGTACAATATGGGTGGTATTTATTAGTCAAAGCCATAAAAAAAAAAAGTGTGGTCCTTTTTCAAGAGTAGAATTTTTTAATGATCTTCAGTAGTTAGATGGTTGTTGAACCTTACAGAGGACAAGTAAGAAACTTGCTAACTCTTTCCCTGTCACTTCCAAACTTTCTGCATACTCTCGCCCTTTATAAATAACTGTGCCTAATCCTACATGTGTGTCTAGCAATGTTTCTGTCACCAAACCAAAGGCCCCTTTTACACTATTCGATCAGGGGTGGATCTGTGCTTGGAACTCCTTCTGATCAGAGCAGTACAGATCTTGTGATGGATGAAAAAACTGTACTGACGGGACCCCATGTCTGTCAATGGAAATCGGATGTAAACAGACATGTGTCCGTTTATATCAGATTACCCCCAATCCAGCAGGATCAGGTCCTATGAAACGGAACACTGTTCCGTTTGTTTTTTCTGAACCTGGCCTGGAGCTGGTGATAACCGGGTGTAAACGGATACCCACCTGTTTAGATCTGGCTGCCCATAGTCCTAGATTGGGCATTCGATCAGGTCCGCCTAAAGAACTGGCAGGCGGACCTGATCGGACCGCCGTCTAAAAGGGGCCTTTCAAGGAGGGGGTTGGGAGTTCATTTTTACCATAATTAACCCTGTCTGCACCACACAATGGGAGGTGGATTTATCAAAAATGGATCAAACAGAATCTGGAGCAGTTGCCCATAGTAACCATTCACCTTCATTTTGTTCAGTTAAGATTTGAAAATGAAAGAAGCTGATTGGTTGCCACGGGCAACTGCTCCATATTTTGTCTGCTCAAGGTTTGATCAATTCTCCTATGTATCCTAACAAAGGGTGACAGATTTAGAAGCTTGACGTCTTCATATTATGTTAATTAGAGGAAACACACTCTGTCCCTGGGGACATACTCACTTTGAATATGTTCAGTGTAGCTTGCAGTCTGCCTAAAGGCCTGCTCCAAAGAAAGGTAAGATTTTTGTATTATTTATTTTTAGAATAATCTAAAATTTCCCAGCAAAAGAGGAAAAATACCTTTAAATAGGGTTGGTGTCTGATGGCATAAACCCTACTGATTATTTGTATGACAGGGCAGGAAGGCACAAGATAGTATGAGGGCATGCAAGGCAGCATGGGGGAATCTGCTTAACGTCATCTAAAATTAAGAATGCCTGACATTGTTTGGTGCAAAACATTTGCAAATATTGTCCTCTGGTAAACTCCATGGGGTTGGTTTACTAAAGGATTTTGTTACGTAGCTAAGTGATCCAGTGTTTACTTTAAACATCCATGGACATTTATGAAAAATGTATTAAAAAAATATTTACTAAAAATAGGATTATTTTTAGGACATTTCTAGAAAATTAAAGTAGATACAACTTAACTGAGCTAAGTAAAAAAGTAAATCAACAGCAGTGGATCAAATCCTTATATCTCGTAACTATTATATAATTGAAGATAACACTTGCCTTCCCTCTACAAGGCATATTCTGTGGAGCATTGTAAGCAAAAATGTTTGTTTCCTTTTAGGTAGAGTAGGCAATGGTTGCAATCACTCTCTGTTAATTGAGGGAATCCTCTTCTACTGTAGTTGTCACTGAAGTGGGGAATCTCCCCAACAAAGGCACACACAGATAGAAATATGCCTGACCATGAGTAACCTGACTAGGGTGCTAACCTTGTAAGTGTGTTTGTGCATGCTTTATGATAAGCGTTAATGTGTTATCCCATCACAAAATACAGTATATGTGCACTGTGGCGCATTGCTATTTATTCTGAATTATTTTAAATGAATACATTTTTCATGGTTGTACTGTATCAGAAAATAAAATTTAAGCTGGCCGATACCAGAGATTGCCACTAACCACCACAATATGGGGGGACCCCTGATAATGGATTGAGCCAATGTGCACTGGGTATTTAAAATGCTATGTGGCGTTCCCATAAGGACTTTGACAGTAATGATATTTGCCCTGGAGAATTCTTATTTGTTGCAATTATTCAATGAAATGCACTAAAGTGCAGCTGTCAACCATTGTACTCTAACATGGAGGTCATCTTTAGGTGCTGACCTCTTCTCCAGTTACAGCTTTGTCTGAGTCACAATTGTCCATGGCCAACCTTTTTTAGGAGGTCTAAGAGGTATGAGTAAAGGATGGCATCACTAACACACTTTATTACATTCGAATTTGATCATTTCCTAGAATGAGTATTCAATGAGTCTCAGCAACAAAGGTTGTTACCTATAGTTCCCATAGCAAAGAATTAGTGACTGTACACTTATTCATGTTTAATCATTGTTTAAGTGTCTCTTATGTCAACTTATGAGACACAAGTTTTAGAACCGATACCCCTTCAGGCTGCTCTCAGCAACTTGTCTTATTGTTATCAGCATGTAAAATGCATCTGTTGAAAGGCCAGATGTTCAATAAAATTACACAATATGATTTTAAGTATAATGTCTTGCTCCATACATAGTGTATCCTTATTACATCCTGAACAAAATGACGAAATAAATATGATAATTGAGTTACACATGATGATCTTTGGGTGTTAAAAAGCTAATAATTAAAGCCCAACTCCAGCCAAAAGGTTTTTTCTTCTGGGAAGGGTTCGAACCTTTGTCCCCCACAGTGGCGACTCTAGGAACAATATATAAGGGGGGCACATCAGATACCACAGTCAAAACTGGGGGGCGCTAATAATTTTCACCACTAAATCATACCACTGAAAAAAGCTAAATAAGTATATATAAATAAGTTTATGAGAGTGCGGTATGCAATGATACCTTTTTATTGTACTAACCTAATACTTAAAAGACAAGCTTTCAAGAGTTTTCCTTTCTTCCTCAGGTATTGCTTTAGATTTGAGAAAGAGAGGAAAACTCTCAAAAGCTTTTCTTTATAGTTTAAAGCAATTTCAGCAAACACCAGGGCTGTGTAAATAATCCCATATGTTATACAGCAATGCAGAATACCACCAGCTATAGAGGACTACAAATCCCAGCAATACATTATACAGCAATGCAGAATACAATCAGCTATAGAGGACTACAAATCCCAGCAAAACATAGAGCAATACAGAATAATAGTATATACATTTGCTACATACTCTGTGCTGCCACTCAACTCTGGGGTTCTGGCCTGATGTATTGGGTACAGGGTGTCAGGAGGGTCTTAGTAAGGGGAGATGTGCGGGTGGCAGAAGCACTATAAGCAGGCATCGCGTGGCTCCCCAGAGGGCTGCCGCAAGGTCCCCAGCGGGCGTCGGACCTAAGACACCTGAGTCAATTTGAAAAATGTAAGTGCCGGTATGGGTTTTTAGTTTTGGGACAGAGGTCAGTTGTAACGCAGAGTGCAGAGGTCAGCAGTGTAACGCAGAGTGCATTGGTCAGTTGGTGTTACACAGGGTGCAGAGGTCAATAATGTAACGCAGAGGTCAGTGGTGTAACCCAGAGTGCAGAGGTCAGTGGTGTAATGCAGAGTGCAGAGGTCAGTGGTGTAACCCGGAGTGCAGAGGTCAGTAATGTAACGCAGAGTGCAGAGATCAGTAATGTAACGCAGAATACGGAAGTCAGTAATGTAAGGCAGAGTAAGGAGGTCAGTAATATAAAGCAGAGTACAGAAGTCAGTAATGTAATGCAGAGTACAGAGGTAAGTAATGTAATGCAGAGTACAGAGGTCAGTAATGTAACGCAGAGTACAGAGGTCAGTAATGTAATGCAGAGTATAGAGGTCAGCAATGAAATGCAGAGTACAGAGGTCAGCAATGAAATGCAGAGTACAGAGGTAAATAATGTAATGCAGAGTGCAGAGGTCAGTAATGTAAAGCAGGCTGCAGAGTTCAGTAATGCACACGGGGCAAGGAATAACCTAGAGGGGCAATTTCCCCCCCTTGCCCCCTGTAGTGACGAGGAGATTTCTCTCACATCCTGTTCTGATACTTATCAAAAAGATGGAAAATCAGTGGAAATCTCCTTAGAGGACAGCAATAAAAACCTGACAGAAGCTCGAAACCAGGGTAGCCAAATTTTGGCCCTCCAGCTGTGACACTGCAAGACTCTGACAGCCACATGGATGAACCCCAGAGGCAGATGCATGATGGCATTTGTAGTTCCACCACAGCTGGAGGGTTGAAGTTTACCTACCCCTGCTCGCATTTCCAACTCTACTAGAAAATGTGATTTGTTGCGGTCTTGGTCCCTGTTGGGGAGATTTCCCCTCATGTCCTTTTCTGTCTGACGCCCATCAAAAAGGAAGTGAAATTTCCCAAACCCTTATCCACAACAAAGACAACGTTTGGATGGTGTTGGGTTTTCGATGCAAATGTGTTTTGGTAGCTTTCTTTGAGCCCTCCTCTAGCGCAAAATGTACTTCTATTGCTGGGACTTCAAAAACCTTCTAGCCTTGACATATATTCTGTATTGCAGATATAAAGTACAAATTGTGATGCTGTAATGAGATCTCAGACCAAGGAATTGGAAGAGAGCGCCTTGAGTATCTTAAGAATTTATATAAAACTATGGGCAAAATCAAAACTATGGCAGAAATCAAAAATGACATATATGAGAACATATATGATGCAATCTGTCACTAGCATTAAAGCTGCCCATACACCTTGCGATCAGGGCCGGATTTACTCTCCCTGCCGCCCCAAGGCCATGTTCCGTGATACGCCTAACTTTACTGCTATCACACAGGAGAAAACAATTCCCTGTGTGATAGCCTTTGGAGGTGACAGGTTCTCTTTATTGACCCTGTCACCTCCAATACAGGAGTTCTAGCACAGCACTGTGCTGGAACTCCTGTGACAGGTGAGAGAGGAAGAGCACAGCTCTCCCCTCTCACTGTCTACACGGAGCGGCAGGGTTAGTTTTAACCCTGCCGCTCCCTGCAGTGAGAAGAGACTCGGAGGCGGAGCCCGGAAGCAGAGGAGAGAGGTAAGTGCAGAGGGGAGGGGGGGAGGCTGCAGACTGTTTACATGTGATCTCGGTGACATCGCCGAGTTCACATGTAAGCGAACAATCGGCCGGAACTTCCCCACAAGGACACCGCTGCCGCCCCTCTGCGCCCTGTAGGCTGGGCCTCGGTGGCCTTGTGGGAAATCCGTGCCTGCTTGCGATCATCGGACGAAACTTTTCGTCCGATGATCGAACCGTCGTACGATTTTCGGACGGCGGCCCCATCCTACCCCGATTATCGCAAGGTTGGATCAGCAAAATTAGAAGAAAGCACCTGGACGAATTGCAGTAATCGACAGGCACGTATTTTTGTTTGCGCATGAGCAGTGTAAATCGTATGAATTTTGAGGTACGGATACGCCACCAACCTTGCGAAAATCGTACGATCAACCAAAGTTTTCTAACCTGTTGGTTAGTCAAAAGTCGATCGATTGTACAGTATTTGCGGTTGTACACTGCCCATCGACCTTACAAATATCGGGCGAAAACGCGATTGCATACGGGCGATATTCGTAAGGTGTATGGGGAACTTAACACAGCAGTTTTTTGATAGTTGCCTTTACAGAGTCTGCTCTGCAACCTAAGTTTTAATATCTGTTGATTGTGCCAGTAAGTCTGTTAATTTTCAACTTTCTTTGAGCACTCATATACACCAGCCGCAGGCTAAAACTTTGTAGCGGAGGTGAGGGGCAGTGTTTACCTTTTTAAAAAAAAAAACTTTATTGAAATGTCACAGGTGACTGCCACTGACAATCCCATATTGCTAAGAATCGGGCAGGAAGATGTGTAAGGTCCATACACATTTACCCAATCAGCTGTTAGCAACCTGCAACACTCTGACCAGTGTCCTGCCCAGGTCCTGTCAACCAGTCACATCACTGGTTGCCAGGAGCTGGGCAGTGGACGCCAGCCAGAGCCCACCACCCCCATGCCCCCTATTAGTGTGCAACACCAGCAACCCCCTCAGGCAGTGAAAAAAGGCTAGGGACACCCCGGTTAGCATATGATATTATATGTCAGTTTGTTTGACCAACGAGACACCTGGTTTGATTGACTGGTTACATATTTGGCAGCTGATCACTTGGTTTTGTGTTTTTGTCATGCTGTCCAGCAAAGTGGAAGACAGATGATTGGGAAAAACCATTTAACACTGACAGGGGTTCTTTCAATAGTTAGATTTAATTTGTATATGTAAAACATTTATCCCGGAAAGGAAAGAAAACTGTTTTTGTAACTGCTTAAAAAATGTTATCTGATGTTTGAATTTAATTTGTTTGTCACTCATGTAAAGTCCATCTAAATATACTAGTCCATAACACCCCCTCTTGGCAGGTTGAGACATTGTTGCCCAAGGGTGGCTCCATAAGTACAGTGAAGGAGTGAATGTAGCTACCCTATACTGGCCAGATCACCGGTAAAGCCTAAAAGTTTAGATACACTTTAATGATTTATTGAGCCTTAGAACCTGTGAGCATATTTTCTCTTTCACATAATAATACTTTGTATGTTATAGTTGGTGTTACTTTTTCCTATAGAGAGGCTGTTGAAGGTTTACTTGTCCACTATAAACCACTTGGTGTATATTCCCACCTTTCACATAGCTGTAAGAGCTGGCAGGAAGCCAGGCCTTACTCATGGAACCGGAAGTAAGTGAAGTAATGTAACGTGTGAAGACATAAAAGTCTGTGAACATTATAGAACCTGTTCAGGAAAAAAGAACAGTGTGACAAAAATAAACTAGACATGTATTGTCCAGCTCCTCAACCCAGGAATGAGAAGCAATGACCTTAAAGTGTTTTAAAATAGCAAAATCCCTATAGGGACCGACTAGTAACTTTTGTCTCCCTGTATGCCTTTGTAATTGACTTTTATAGACTAGTACCTGTTCACTGTAAGCTGCATACAATACTATTTGTACACTATTGTACACTCTTAATACAGTTGTAAAGTCCCAGCATATACTCTCCTGGTATAACATCAGCATTGTAATAGGAATACATACTAGAGTTGTTTTTTATAATGCAATCAAATCTTATTTGAAAAAAATCCTTTTTATGTAGTGAGTGCTGCCTTCTGTCTGCCCATCACTTTCATTAACTTCTTTCTTGGATTCCCAGTGTGCTTTGCATCTCTTTCCCTGCTGCTTGATGTGATGCAATTTCTCAAGACTACATATCCCAAAATGCATTGCTTCCAGCAAGCAACAATGATGTTACATTGTGAGAAGTTCAGAAGGTAGGTTCTATGAGAGTGGTGGCATATAAAAGTGTATATTCAGAGTGCTGAGTGAAATTGTGTCAGTACATCCTATGGACATCTATTATTATTATTATTATTATACAGGATTTATATAGCGCCAACAGTTTGCGCAGCACTTTACAATATAGGGCAGACATTACAATCACAATACAATTCAAGACAAGATGGTAAGGAGGGCCCTGCCCCTGAGGGCTTACAATCTAAATGATCTATAATGCGTAAGTTTACAAACTTCTAGATTAGTATGGTTATTAGGGGTGGAATAGAAATGATGGAAACTCAATATAGAAATACATATTTATTTTTCTTTTTTTATACCTTTTAATAATGCACTTTGCACTGCATTGCTGCATTTGTTGCTTATTAGTTAAAATGTATGT